TTGCCAGTGGGGGGGTGGGGGGGAGGGGGCAGTAAAAACAGGCTGTTGATCTGCTGATTTTTGGCCAAACAGTGATGTATACTATTACATACGCGGTCATGATGCTTTGCAAGTCCGCGTGAACGAGGCCTTAGAAAGTGACCAGGAATAGCAGCCTTCATACCTTTTAGTTCAAGTTTCCTTTAATAGACTGAACAAATATTTTCCAAGTCAGTGCAGAGACGGTGATAATGTTCAAAGCACTGCAAGTCGTATCGGCCAGATTTCAGAATATTGTTGAACAAAGAAAAGGAAGAGTTGTGATTGGTCCTTCTGGGTTACTGCACGTTGGCTGTGCTTTTTGCACTGCTTGTGAATGTCATAAGGACACGCTTGTGCTGAAATCTTGGGTGTCATTATTGGCAAACGTTTTAGAGAACTGTTACTGAATACATTTATTATCTGTTTTTAATATGACGTTTTACCTATTGTTTTTAATGTTTTATTATTTTTCACTTGGCACAATCACGTGTAAGTCATTACTGAACACATTAATTTGCATACATCCTTTAAAATGCCACATGGTAGTGCTCGGTTAGTTTTATTTGTATTAACTTTTTACATTGTGAACATATTATTCTGGCAAGTACTGAAGGAGATTGAGCAAATGCTATTTAGCGCCTTTTATGTATAAATATATTGTGAAGTTTGGTTCCTCACTGGCTGCAATTAAAGAAAAATGGCAGTGATTTGTATCAATGTTATTTCCAACCATTGAATGTTTCATTGTTAAAGGGTTTCCCTCCATGTTTAATATCATTTTTTTGTCTTGTTTCTCATTCAATACAGCCTAACACAATGTTAGGCTCCGTTCACATATGTGCGATGCCACATGCTATCCCACATCCAATGTTGGAATGTTCTCTGCCAACAACTCCTGTAAACCACTTAATAGCAACCATCCAAATCCGTATCCAAATCTTCAACTTATTAAAACAAAAATCAATGCTGACAGTGATTAACGTCTCAATGTGTTTCACCTGTGCTGGCTTCTTGGAAGATGTTCATGCAGCTACAATAAAATTAAAAAAAAACACAAATAAGTGTGTGTGTGTGTGTATATGTACACACAACATGCTTACGCCACAGGAAGCCACAGCATCAAGTTGGACAGGCACTTCTATGGGGGTGGGCAACCATGAGACGCGGGAGTTCCAATACAACAGCAGTGTGGACTAACTCTCCAATGTCTACAAAAGGTAACCACATTGCAATGGGTTAAAAAAAAAATCATATATAATGTATACAAACATCACATTTAACTACCTGTAAAATTATGACAACAATTACACAGGACACTATTAATCACATGACTAATGTTGTAGCAAGCAGAAAAATGCCCGTCACTGGAAAAAGTACACAAGCTACTTTTTGGCAGGTTACAGCGCTTTTTTGGTCCCGTAGACTTTAATGGGAAACGTCATGCAATAAAATGCTCAGGTGTGAACAGGGGCCAGAGAAATAATGGGATTTATTGGTTTGAACATTTTGTCTCTCAAAAGAAAAGCGCATGGGATTCCTTGTCTTAAGTGTTTTGTCACGCTTACCTTTAAACAACAAACGCCTAGGTGTGAACGGGGACTAAATCAGCAGTGGGGTTGTGTCAAATGAGCAGAGCTACTGCAGCTTCCATGAGGAAGAACAAAGGTTCTTCTCTAAGCATGCTGGCACTAAAATATCAGTGTTTGGTGGACTTTCCCTTTAGATGACTATTAAAGGAATTCTATGATAGGAGGCCATTGCTGGCATTTTTCTGTAGCTCCTAACTAGTAACTAACTGGCTGTCCTGTTGATATGATTTCAGTGTTTTATGAGTCACTGAAACAAGTATGCAGTAAGTGAAGTCTGCTATCTTTTACCAGGTCAGTAGCTCAGGAAGTGTTGAAGCCATTATATTAGCATGGCAGCCGGGCATAAAGCATTTTGGCATATCTATGTAAAGTCGGCAATAGTATCTCAGCACATGTTTGCTTAAAGGGTGCTTGAAAAGATTTGTGATTGCTTCGAGAAAGTGAGGAAACATTTGTTGAAGGCTTGGAAAGAGCTGCAGGCATATGAGATGTGTTTGCAAGACCTTTAAAACACAACACCCATGTGTAACTTGCCTGAAATAGCTTTGATTGCAGTGATATTTGAAATTTCAAAAAGTCCAGCATCAGAATAACGGCCCGAGAGCAAGCCTGCCGCATTGTCCAATGCTGATTTTTACACTCCTATGGATACAGTAACTAATCCTAGCTATTAATAAAGAATCACCTCGCCTTCATCCTGGAAGGCTCTTCAGACAATTGACAGGTTTTGTCACCTCTGCTGTGTAAATACCATTGTAACATTACCCCGCTGGCACTTTCACAGGATGTGTCCTTGGGCTAGTCACCGAGAAGGTTTTTGACATGACCAGTGTGTAAGGGGTTAAAAAGATCCTTAACGCTCTATGTTCTGGAAAGAAATGTGATCTGTAAAACAGGCACCATGATATTAATAGAATGGCTGAGATATGCACCTGTCATCAGCTGTGACTGAAGGGAGTCAAGTGACTGGAAGCGGCCTCCTGTTTATTTCTTGGGAGTCCTGCTGCTCTTCTCAGATTTCTTGTGATTTGAAGTGGTACAGTCCACCTGCAATATGTTATTTTGTCCTTGACGGCTAACATTTCTGGAAAAGAAGTCGCTGATCTGGTTGTATTTTTGTCACCATGAGCAATGACCGATACTTTGAGACCTATGTTCTTGCCTCTGCTGCTGCAGCAGGAGAAATGTATCCCTCTCCATCCCCAACGCATAGAGCCCCTGTGAACCAGTTAGGGGTCCAAAGGATCTCTGTACCAAATCACTAACCTGCAGCAAAAAATCACCCAAAAAAACATCCAGTCTAGTTTGAATCTTAACTTGGCATTAAGGAAATTATTCCTGCTTCTCTGAAAAGTGATGTGACTAGGACCAGACCAAGGGGCAGGCGTAAGAGGCTGAGCACTATAGCAGGAGGGGGTGCAGAAAGGGCAGAACTTGCAAATTATAACGCTGATGTGGTTCACATCTCATTGGGGATGGAGAGGGGGCACAGTTTGGCTTTTTCTTCTTGGGTGCTTTAGGACCTTGTCCAAGCATTGGCTGTAGTTTGTAATGTCCCAGAGGAGGGAGTGTTATCACAAACTAAGTCCAGGGGGTTCTGTTGTGGTACATTTTGAGGCATGGGCATTAACTCCCATTGAAGTCCATTCAATTAAATGGGTTGCCAACACATCACAAACTAAATCACTGGGGTGCCATTTACTTTAACACACTCCACATGCATCACCGCTACACCCTGATGTAAATGAGTTTTAAAGGAGTAGAGGCTTTTCACTAACAGGGTTATTCACAGAAGGGTGAATAGTTT